GTATGTCATTGTGACTTACAAAAAAAAACCCATAAAATTTTATTAACATTAATGATCCCCGTTTAAAAAAATTAACAATAATGGTCCTTGTATATATAAAAGTCGAACTCACCCATTAGTGGCTTCCCAATATTGACCCATCTTTTAACTACACACTCTCCTATTCCAATACATAATCTTCACCGATTTTCCTGTCAAATAGATATAATTGATCACCCACATCAAAACACAAATGAAAAGATGATGTCAAGGGCAAAATGGTCAAAATGTTGTAAAATAGTCCTAAAACAAACTCAAGTTATCCTAAAACAAACTCAAAAAATTAACTTTGCTGGAAATGAGTTACCTGAATACAGGTAGTCAGATTGACATATGTGAAATGAAATACTTTTATAAAAAATCTAAAATAAAACAAACCTCCCCACACTTATAACATCAGTCATTGTATTAGTTTTTATCACATATATTGAAGAGTTCAAAGATTTTGAGATATGGACTAAAATACCAATTATGTAATCAGTGAACCAATCTTTATCATCTCCATATACAAATGACAAACAACAGAAGTGATACATCTAATAGACTAATATAATAATTGTACACAAAGCTTAATAAGAAGTCAATTTTAAAAGTGAATTGTAAAAATAACAGAAAAATAAGGCAATGTCTCGAGTAGCTTTAATTACAGATGAGTACAACAACTAAATACTTTAATCAATGAAGTGAATGAACAAAAGAAAGAACAATGATGAAACAGAAATAGAATAAAATCAAATAATTAAAGAGAAATTAAATATCCTCTTTATCTTTTGTTCCTACATATCATCATACCATTAAAAGTGTATAATTTTGGAATTGTTATGAAATGTTATTTGTGAATTCGAGGAATAGATGAATAATATAGCAATTATTATGAGATTTTAATTCAATCAATACGTTTCCTATACTAAGATTCAGTCAAGCAACTGTGGGTTTTTAACATTAAGAAAAAGAAAATAAAATACACAAATTGCTAAGTGGAAAATAAGTAAATAAAAAAGCCAAGAAAAAGCCATGTGGCAAATTGAAGGAGAGTAAGACACGTGGAAAAAAATTTCAATATACAACACATAAAAGGTTTTGGTGAAAACAAAGGGGGGAATCCATACTTAAAGAAGAAATTGAAATATAAACAAAAAGACTTTCGGAGGTAAAAATAATTAGATTCAATGTTCAACACCGATGTTTGCAAACTATAATGATAGATGTAATAATTACGTATGACATTTAATTATAAAAAACTTTAGAAAATCAATTGTCATCATCAGAAAAATGGTATTCTCACCCACAACGAAAAGTTGTGTCCAATGGTGTCCTAAGATTAAATTGATTTATCGTCATTTGATGACATGACATGAAACAAAAGTTAGAAAAAAAAAAAAAAAAAAAAAAAAAGAAGACTCAGAAAGCATGTTTTCACATCTCTTGAAATTGAATTTCTCAGTCCAAGTGTTGGAATGTTTACATTTTGCTTCATCATCGTCTAATTAAGTGTCTTTAAAATCACAACTTGTGATCAAATTCATAATATGAAAACCAAAACTAGGCATTTATAGGATGAATCTTGGTTTGATTTAAAAAACGCTGGAATACCAAATATGTTGACGTGTGACAAAGAAAACTGGAAAATAACAACAAAATATGCATAAAAAAGTGCAAATGGAAATGAGAGACTGCTCAGTAATTGATTCATCGACACGCAAAATTCTTAGAATCCTGAATTCCGGTCTGTTGAGCTTGAATTTTACTTGGTCATCGTTGCAATCTATATTTGAACCTACTAAGCCTCTAAAGGATTCAACAAATTGTAATGCATATGTGCAAATTGTAAAAATTCATTAAGTCGTGAAAATAAGACTTAAATGATTGAGATTGTAGACTATTCGACCAAGTATCAAAAATCACCATAAAATTTAAAACTTGTATCGGATTAATTTAATCATAGAAGTGGAGAAGAAGTTACTCAGATGGCATGATATTTAATTAGGTTCGATTCTGCCAGCAGAGTTACCTCATACTAATTCAGAAGAGGGAGCTTTGTATCCTCATTGTAATCCCCTTCTATTCCCACATAAACATAAAAGCTAAATCATGAATAAAAAGCAGTAGATATAAACACAAAGACAATGAAAAAATCAATCAATTGAAAGAGAAAATCACTCAGTTCAGCGGGAATATCGACACGCAAGCAAATCTCTCTGGAGAGATAAGCCTGCATTCCGGTCTGTTGAGCTTGAATTTTGCAAGTCGTCATTGCGATCTCTCTCTACAACGACGTAACCCCATTAAAAATAAAGTAGAGCAATTCAAAGCATACAGTGTGAGCATAACCGCATAAATAGATTTGATTGAAAGAAAAGATGGTGGTTGGCTGTTGTGTAAGTGTAGAGAGGGGGATTAAATAGGGTTGAAATTAGGGTTTCGTTTGGTTTGCGGAAATCGGCACTATGGTTTTTGTTACCGTTAAGGCGTTAACCACATGTTAAGTTCATTTGATGGTAAGGAAAGATATTAGTATAACGTGGGAGATCTATATCTTAAATGCATTATATATATATATATATATATATATATATATATATATATATATATACTAGCCGTCTACCCGCGCAAAACGGCGGACGACGAATAATTTGATCTCTTTATAATTAAAACCATTTTGCGTTCACTTCGAGAAATGAATATTAAATGACATCTATTTTTCAAGAGCATTACCATATCATATTAAGGGGGTGTTTGACTAAGCTTTTTCAAAACAACTTATTAGGTTGCACATCACTATAAGTTAAAAAAGTGTTTGGATTAAAATAACTTATTCCGGTGGGGAGCCTCTAATACGTCATTTTTTCATAAGTTACTATACACTTATTTATTAACTTATAAGCTAATAAACTAATAAGCAATAAGTTTTTTTGGCCAAACACCCCTAAATGGTTATTACTTCCATTTATACATACCCAAACCACTTGTATTGTTTATCATCCTCTTTTTTTTCGTTTTCCTTAATTCCTTTATTAATTTAATGTCATACTAAGTAAAACACTAAAATATATAAATAATAGTTTATAAAAATAAACATTTAGAATATTAGGTGTTGTGATTCAAAAGTCGATAAATAGGCCTTTGAGAAGGCCAAAATACTCAGGTATCAACTTGTTCATTGTGATTTTAAACCAAGTTTGGTCACAAATTAAAACATTTTCAACGATGGTATGTAATTCAAAGATTCATATTGATTTAGGTTCTCGAAACCTTAAAATATTGAACAAAATCTATATAGAACCTTATAATAAGGACAATAATCACCGTAATCAGGAAGTCCATGTGATGAAACTTGATATTATAAGGATCAATGATGAAAAAAGTTTCATTTTTAGATTAAACAAGATGAAAAATATACAAACTACCTTAATCATGTCAAATCTTGTGTTTAACCGTTTTTTATTGCAAAAGTAAGATGCCAAAAATATACAAACTAATGATAATACAGTGCTCTAACTGGCCCTCTTGGTTGATATCTTTGAACTCGCAAAGCCAACACATTAAAGAAACATAGTAAAAACTTTTTTAGGAACAAACCTGATATAATAAAGCCTTCACCCAATATATTTATAAGATCAAAATACAAAAAATTAAAAAATGATGAAATCAATTACAAGTAAGGATTAAAATAAAAACCTGGTAAGAAAGAGTCATCTGCAGGAGGGATATTTGAATCAACATGTATTTGCTGATGGTTTTAAATTTTGAATTATCCGAAATTTAAGGAAAGAGATAGAATTTGTTGAGAAATATAAAGATTCAAAACACAGGTTAAAATTTAATATTATTTTATTGATGACTACTTGTACTATTAGTTTAATGATTTGAACGTCTTAAAAAATAATATTATTATATTCAATATATTTTTAGAAATATTGAGATTTCTTTTATAAGATAGTAAAGATATATATATATATATATATATATATATATATATATATATATATATATATATATATATATATATATATATATATATATATATAACCTGTGAAAACCATGGTTATAAAATTAAGTAAACTTTTATAGTAAACCTCAAAATTATTAATTAATTATTTTAAATAAATTATTAATTACGAAATATTTTTATTAGTTATGTGAAATTATAATCGTTAATTCAAATAAATATATAAAATTAACTTTTAATATATATTAGATATTTTTATTTGTGAATTACTGAAAACAATAATATAAAATTTAAAATTTAAAATAGAGAGTAAATACATTAACAAATAACATCACATTGATTAAGATGTATAATAAATTTAAAATGGAGAACTAATAGATTGACAAGTGGCATCATATTAATTAAGAGGTATAATATAGTGATGCATGACAAAATAACTACTGTTTTATTAGTATAGGGATATATATATATATATATATATATATATATATATATATATATATATATATATATATATATATATATATATATATATATAGTAGTTGTGAGATCCGTATAGTATACGGGTTGGATAAAACAAAAAAATAAATATGAATGTTTAGACAAAAATTTATTTAAAATTTAATATTTGAATTTAATAGGAAACATATTTAATATAATATATGAGTAGTAATTGTAATTTATTGACTATTTTCAATTAAAGAATTATTAAATGAGCTATAATGTTAAGTTAATTAAGAAAAGATAAAATATGAGAAAATGAGACATGGAAAAACATTTATTCACAAATACCATAAAATAACATGCAAGAAAAATCTTTATCTATTAGAGTAATTCATTTAGTTTTTTTTTTCCATAAACATGCAAATGGTTCATTCTCATCCCCCCCCCCCCCCCACACACACACACACATATATATATATATATATATATATATATATATTATCGTCAGCTTATCTAATTATTAACTGAAGTTATGAAATTCGTATTATTTGTTTTTCTTTACATTGGTATGACAAATGTTTCTCTAGTAACTTCAACAACTAGCACACAAGAAAAGGTGTGTGCTTTTAGCTATTGGACTATTTATATCTACAATGGGATCAACGATTCTTTTACTGTGCACGTACAATCAGCTGATGACGATCTTGGAAATCGAACACTGCCATTCAATGGTTCTACAGATTGGGGTTTCTGCATGGGTATCACCTTTAAGACTCGATTTTATGCTCACTTCTACTGGAATTCCAAAACAGCTTTCTTTGATGTTTTTGATTATACTACAAGCAATCATCATTGTAGCGAAAGAAAGATTTTCAAACAACAAAGATGTGTTTGGTTAGTTAGAGATGATGGGTTCTATTTATCCTCACAACTTAGTCCGTTTCCGATAGGATGGACTAAGTTGCATGAATGGTCATGAGTAAATTATGTGTTTAATTCATATAATATTTGAACCAAGATTTTTAATTTTAGTTTCATGGAATATGAAGATTATTTTATAGGTTCAGGATTCTTTGGGAATTCACAAGATTTGTAAAATCTAAGCTCGATAACTTTTTTATTTTATTTTTTAAAACTGCTTTGAGACAAAATCTATTTGTTTATTTATTTATTTTTTACTTTAAAGGCACTTAATTCATTGAAAAAAAAAACTAATTTTAAGTGCTTAATAAGTTATCTAATGGCTGATAAAGTCAAAAAGATTAGATGACTCAAAGTATTTTTTTGTTAAAAAGTTCTCAGATTTTCACAAAACTTTGAGTTCTCAACGGATGTCGTGTATATATATATATATATATATATATATATATATATATATATATATATATATATATATATATATATATATATATAGTTTATCCACACCAAGCGACCGATATAAATAATTCTTCAGATTATAGTTTCTAGATGCGAGTAGTTCAAATGTAAAAACTTACACAATTAGAAAAAGAAAACAAAACCATCCAATTAATCAAATTTCAAGAATTATTGATTATAGAATAAATTTATATGCGGCTTTAAATCATAATAATTATCCAAACATCCTCTCTTTGTCCAAAAAATAAAATCAAGCAAAATCAAAAACTTTAACTTTTGAAAATGGCAATGTATTTTGATCATGCACTCACATGTTCCTTTTGATTAAACATAAACATAAACATATATATATATATATATATATATATATATATAATGGGCTATAAGAGAAAATTTTTTGTTGAAAAACTCATTTGTCAAAATTAAGACATTTGGTTATATTCAACACTAGGTGGGAAACTTGTTTGCTATACGGGTTGATTAAAAAAAAGTTATATATGAAGATATAAACTTTAAATATTTTTTTAAAGAAGACATTAAATATCAAAGTGTAAACATTATTTATTTTTTAAAATAAAATTTCAAAATATATATACAAACAAAATGATGAATAAATAAATAATTCAGCCTATATTAATAAAACAGACTATAGAAAAATAATTATTTTTTTGACTAGATAACATTTTTTTTAAGTTGTCAATAAAAAAGCAACAAATTTTGATTTTTTTATATAGACTATTTTGTCTAAAATGATAAAAAAAACTTTAAAAGAAACACGTCAAATTTGAATTATATATATTGAATGAAACATATTAAAATTTGAAATATAAGGAAACAAATTAATAACACGTTAAATATTTTCTATAACCTAAAAATTAGATAGTTAATTAAGAAAAATTAAAAATTACCACAAAATGACAAGTGAAAATTAATTTGTAATAATTAACCACAAAATTACATGTGTCCAAATGCATAAATATTTGACAAGTGACAAAAAGTTCTTTATTTATTAGGGAGGATATATATATATATATATATATATATATATATATATATATATATATATATATATATATATCAAAATATCTAAAAATTTTGAATTTATAAGAAAAAAATAATAATTTATTATAATATAAATGTTTTTATCTTTTAAATTTAAACAAATAATTTAAATAAAGAAAATAAACTAACGAGTTTTAATTTTGAAAATTTTTTAAATTAAAAGTTAAGTTTATTAGTGAAATTAATATTCATTTATTACTAAATTTATTACAATTATTATATTAAAATATTATGTGAAATTTATTAAAATAAAACAACTCATAAAATAACATATGGAAAAAAAATTAATTCAAAATAACTATAAAATGATATTTGATAAATTGAATGAGAATATGATAAGTGGTAAAAAAAACTTTCATTTATTAGAAATTATACTTTTAGGGGAAATTGACTAAAGTAATTGATATTAAATTATAATATTAATAAAAAAGTAACTATTTTCTTTCAAATAAATGCAACGTAATCCTACAGTCTAGAATCCATCATTATGTATTAGTATGGTCTATTACGGAGTAATTTGTTATTGAAAATATATATAACACTTGCAATTTAAGAGCATATTCCAGTGTATTACGAAATATATTTTGGAATGTAAGACTTTTTAGAGTACTATTTAAGAGTAAAATGTTAAGTATTTTTATTGTATTTTTGCTCCCATTTGAAAAAAAAAAATCTTCATATCCACATCACAATTAGCATTCAATTACTAAAAATGAATTCGAATGATCAACATTTTAAAGGACATGTTCGTAATGGACGGAATTAGAACGAATTGGTTGATTAACTCAGTATATTGCTCTAGACTATACATATTATGTCGTAAATTTTGTGACAAATGATATAAAAATCATTTAGTTTGGCAGAAATATGCGGATTTCCTCTTTTGCATATTTTAAGTACATTAAAGCTAGAGCTTTGCAGCTTTTTTTTCTTCAGTTTTACCCTTTTGCTTATTTTTGGTTCATTAAAGTTCATACATTTGGCATAAGTGTTTTGTTTTATCATTTTTTCTAGTTCATTAAATCTCTTAAGTTTTATGTTGAAGGTCATTGTATATGTATTGTGGTATATATTATCTTGAGGAACTCACTAAGCCTCGGCTTACATGTAACGCTCGTACGTCCGCGCTAGTCAATTTAGAGATGTTAAGTGTTAAAAATGACTTTTTGATAGAAGATTATTTAGAATGAATAATCTTAACTAAGTTGTAGTATATGTTACAAGGATTCCGTACATATAAAGAACGTCGAAATCCGAGTTATAACGAAGAAGTTATGATCTGTCAAAGTTTCGCGACAGAAACGACATAACACAGCGCGACGCAAATAGTGAATTTACGTTAGAGTGATATTTAGCCTTAGCGATCTAAATCAAATTCGTAGAATACATTAAACCGAGAGCGTGCATAAAAAGAACGTCTAAATCTGACTTCGTATGAGGAAGTTATGATTTTTCGAAGTTTCAGCATTAACAGTATGCAACCCGAAACTCGAGATTGAGGTCGAGTGATATTTAGCCAAAACTTTCTAAATGATAATTGAAGATCTCATCAATATTAGTCCAACGATAAAAAAAGACAGACGAAAACGGAGTTCAGATGAAGGAGTTATGAATTTCGAACGGAGTTTTCCTGTCCCGGTCTACTAAAAATAACATATTAATAATATATTAATAATATATTAAAATTAAAGTCAAAATTAGCCGATGAATTCTATAATAAAGTTGTAGATCTTGTTTTTACCTACGCGTGGATATAAAGAACGTCGAAAACGGAGTTCGTATGCGAAAGTTATGAATTTATGAAGTTCGGGGCGCGAAACCCCAAAACTGTCAGAGTTCACGACGTGAATACAGTGTTCACGACGTGAACTCAGTATTTATGACTTCTGGAGCCTGACAGACGCAACTTTCGATGACGCATTCAGTGACGATTGAACTCACGACGTGAATATTTGAGATTCACGACGTGAATCCATAAAATCAACCCTATAAATAGAATTCAAGGGGCAGTCGAGTTTAGTTGCTCAATCTCTTTTCTCCCACTCCCGATACTCTCTCTAAGCCCTATTTTAACCCCCCCCCCCCCGAAGCCCCGGTATCATCCCGAGACATGAAGCAAGTCCCGAAGTTCCGAAGATCCCGAGAAGAAAATAGTTTCCGAGCCGAAGCTCTGCTTGCGAGAGGCCCGGTGTGTGAAGAGATCACAGTTTCACCGAAGAATACTACTTCTACAAGTCGTAGTGTTGCCCGATCATCTTCTGATCAAGTGAATGTATAGTCACTTTCATCTTACACATAGATATGAAGTATTTTATAAAATACGTGCTATGTGTATATATATATATATATATATATATATATATATATATATATATATATATATATATATATATTGTTGTTTATATGTGTGAGTGTGTAGTTACTTTCTTCTACCACATAAATATGAAGTATTTGCTATGAAATACGTGTTATATGTTTATACATTGTTTGCTTATTTGAGATGAGTGTGGAATGAATGTTTTATACAAATTTTTAAATGATTTAAACTATATATGTATTTTATATCTACAAATATGTTGGGTAGAACATGGGTAGTCGAAATAGTTGGTGTGTGATGAAGGATGAGACGAAAGGTGAACCTTGTTAGTTATGGATTTAGTACCGTATATATGAACGTTGGTAGTTATTGATTTAGTACTATTAGATAGACGATGATGGCTATGGACCGAGTACCTACACTGGTAGTTATGGATTTAGTACCCGATGAAAGAATCCTGACAGCTATTGTCTTAGTGCCAAATAAAGAATCCCGGCAGCTACTGTCTTAGTGCCAAATAAAGAATCCCGAAAGCTATTGTCTTAGTGCTAAATAAAGAATCCCGACAACTATTATCTTAGTGCCAAATAAAGAATCCCAGAAGCTATTGTCATAGTGCAAAATAAAGAATCCCGGCAGCTACTGTCATAGTGCCAAATAAAGAAACCCTGGCAGCTGTTGTCTTAGTGCCAAATAAAGAATCCCGGCAGCTACTGTCTTAGTGCCAAATAAAGAACCCTGGCAGCAATTGTCTTAGTGCCAAATAAAGAATCCCAACAATTATTGTCTTAGTGTCAAATAAAGAACCTTGACAGCTATTATCTTAGTACCTAATACGGAGTGAACGAATAGATGATTCTTAGGGTAGACCCTCAAGAGTAAGGAAGATAATAGGGGTGGGTAATTGGGTTGATTGTTTGATGATTGAATATAATAATTATATTATTGTGGGTTGAAAACCCTATATAAAACCATATCATAGTATAATCACAAAGATCTCATGTGCGGAAAACATAGTGCGATGCGTTGTGATTGTCGGCTCCTTTCCTATGAAAGCAAAGTACCTAAAACCAAAACTAAAAACCGTAAGCACGAAGCTTAGTGAGTTCCTCCATCATACCACATACCATATAATACACATATTGCCAGGCATATCCGGGTGCCCGACCTACCCCATCGGTCCTTCCGACCGGATATTGTCGAGCATATCTGGGTCCTGGCCT